TAGACACTAAAGTTTATGCTCAGTTTAAGCCAGGTGAAGTATTCAACTAAAGCAAAACACCTCAGAAGTTTAGAGGGGAGAAACTTCTCAAGCCATATACCAAGAAAGACGAATTAGACTGACACCAAACTTCTAAACAGCTAGAAGACAATGAAACACTATTTCCAAAGTTATGAGCAAAAAAATTATCATGAACTTGGAATTCTATACTAACCATGAGGAAAAATAAAGATTTTTAGATATTACAAGGTGTGGTAAGCTATAGAATGACCCTCTGCCCTGCCAAGGATGTCCACATCCTAACCCCTGGAATCTGTAAATGTTAACCTCATATTACAAAGGTGACTGCAGATATAATTGAGCTAAGGATCTTGAGTTCAGGAGACTGCCTTGGATCATGCAAGTGGGCCCAAGTGGGGTCACAAGAATCCTCTGAACAGGAAACAAGAAGGTTAAAGGAGAGAGCAGGTGGTGTGAAGCAAGACATCACCAGCTAAGGAAAGGAGGCAGCTCCAGAAGCAAGAAAAGGCAAGGAAATGGATTTTCCCCTAGCGGCTCCAGAAGGGACCAGCATTGCTGACTTTGGCCCAGAGAAACTTAATTTCAGACTTCTGACCTCCAGAACCCATTAAATGATACATTTGTGTTGTTTAAGCCACCAAGTTTATGGTAAGCCGTTACAGCAGCATGAAAACACAAGGATTCAAAGTTTACTGCCTATGTAATGTTTCTCTGAAAAAAGAATTTGACAGTATACCACAGAAAAACAAAACAGCAACAGGAAGAACTGACAAAGATGCTCCTTGACCAAACTTTGGGCAGGCTCCTTTGAGTCCTCCTCTTGACTAGCCCTCTACCTCAGCCTTGTCCTGTCTTCAGCCTGCCTAGCCCAGTTGTAGCAAGAATCCTGCTAAGCCAGTTTGGCAAGAATCCCCCCACCCTTCATATCTGATTATCCTGGATATCTAAGCAGATTCCTCATCCCCCACCCTTGATATCTGATCACTCTGGCCTGTCTTCAGCAAGAATCCTGTTATGTCGGTTTAGCCAGAATCCCCCTACATTTGATGTCTCTCCTTTTAGTGATTTTCTGTCACTGATCTTCTTGCGCCTGCTCAGTGGCTATACATCTCCACTTGCCCTTGCTGCATACAGAGTTGAGCCTGATCTCTCTCCACTATTTTGAGTCTTGACACCTATTGCAATGGTCCTGAATTTTTAGGTCCTTCACATTTTTAGCAAGAGCCAGAATAATTTTTTTAAACAAAATAAAAAAGGCAAAAACAATATTCATAACATTGCCACAGGCCGAAATTAGACATTTCTAGATGCCAACTGTGTAGCTGCATAGAGAGCAACCTGTCTACATTAGAATAGGAAACATAAGGTATCTTCAAGAAGAAAGTGGATTCCAGGCAACACATAGATCATGGGTATATCAGTGATACAGTAAAAGCTTACATATAAAGACATCAAAAAGAGTGTAAGGGGATATTAGAAATCTGAAGACAAGCAATTAACAGGGTGAGTGAGAAAAGTCATAGTCTGACATGACGTAAAATATAAAGGGACATGGCTATGACCTTGACGGTATATAAGAAAAGTGAATTCACCTGACCTTGACATCTTTAACATTAGAATTATATTTCTTTCCCTACATACACCATAGTATTTGAAATTGAAGTAAATGATATTGACACTATTGTAATTATGTAAGAATTTTACTGGCTATTAATGTTCGCAATAAAATACAATGACTAAACTCCCTGATCTGCATACACACTCCCCACTCCAAACCTAAGCCCCCACTTTCTAGAAGCAATCACTGTTACCTGCCAAAAATATTCTCCACACTATTCAAGAATCTGCATGTATTCATGCACACCGACAAATACTTAATCTCCCTTTTTGTTCAAAAACTAGAATCATTCTAAAATCTACACTTCTTTTTCACTTAACAGTACATCTTGGAGACTGCACAGATTAACACCTATAGATCTATCCATCAGTGCCCCTAAAGATTTAGCAACCATTTCTGGGGAAAGAGGCAGAGGCAGTGAGCTCTGTTTGTGGCATCTGCGGATTTCCACTTGGCAAATACTCATGCTATGGTGGCCAATTTCCAAGCTGCCAATGTGATGTTACTGAACGCAGTTTCTCCAGTACCCCAGCAGGTCTACCTCAACCTTTTCCACAGCTTGATAGCATCCTAAAGTACTAGTTTAATTTATTGAACCAGTCCTCTCTTGGGAATTTGAACTAAGAGAAACTTAGAGAATGGATCAATTTGCAGTGGGAGTTAAAGATGAAGCACCATGCAATAAACAGCTTCATAGGCAATGTTGACCAAAGCCAAGTTGAAAAAATGAGGAAGTAAAAACTACCAGTAAGCAGAGAGAAGTGGCTGGTACAGAGAAGAAAACAGCACCCGAGATGCAGAGCAAAGCGGTCACCACCAGAGAGAACTTTTAACCCAAAAAGGACTGAATAGCGCACCCTGAAGCTGCTTCAGACTTCAGTTCCTGAAGGCTTTCATTTCCAGTGAAATAAAATCAAATAGCAAATGCCCTTTTTTCCTTAAAAGAATCTGAGTAAGTTATTTGTGACTTTCAACCAAATTCACTGGTGTCTCTTAGATATGGTTTTAGTTGTAATCACTTTCTCACTGTGTCATGGACTAACATATATCAAGAATAAAGATTATTTTAAATGTTGAAATCTTAATGAACATATTTGTGATCACTTTCTCACTGTACCATAAACTAAGATATATTAAGAATAAAGATTATTTTAAATGTGGAAATCTTAATAAACACCACTGATAAAAATGTCACTATAATTTCGCCATGCTCTAGATCCAAGGCTGGAAGGAATGCTCAAAGGAGGAATGAGCAGAGTGAAGCAGATTAACAACAAAGTGCCACGAAAAACAAAAAAACATAAAGGAATGTACATCCTCAACAAGAGTCTGAAATACCACTTACTTTGACAGGTCACTCTGGTCAAGAGGAAATATGGGAACTTAAAGGCTATATATACCTGCTTTCCCCCTACAACAGCTTGTTCTGAAATAGCACCCCAGGCTAGCCTAAGCCACCCTACCACTGGTGGTCCTATGGGAAAAACTGCTCCAGTACCTCCTCCTGACCCCTTTATTTCCCTTTATTGGGAGATCATCTAGAATCCTAAGAAAAATAGCTCAGAGCAGTCTGAGCTCTGTGAGGTCCACAAAATCTATCGGGCCCAGAGAGATGCCCACATGGGACTTCAGTTATGGCTCCTCCCATGCCTGGAGATGACTGTTTAAGGGTATTTTGTTCCTGGCTAGCTGCCTCCCCCATTATCTTCAGGTTCTTGGAATTTGTGATACAAAGAACAAGTTTTAGACAATCAATAGCTTATGTTATTTTGATGTAAATTCTTGGTAAAACCTTAGGAACGATCCCTTCTTTTTTTCTTAAAAACCCACTTGAACCTTCTGCTAATTGGGGTGTACATTCAGGGCAACTTGAATGTATGTACCCGGTGGCCATCTTTAAGCTCTGGACTCAAATTACCTCTACTTAATCATATTTCCATTATGAAGATTGACAATGCAATCCTATACTTCCCTGTGGTCCAGTGCAATCCCGCTTCCATCTCTCATAACTACATTAATTCCACATTAAACAAATGTCTTTTCGAAAACTGCACAACCTTTCAAAAACCCATTTATCTCCCTCTTCCTCCCCCAATTAACATATAAGCTTAGAAAAATCATTTGATTTTCTTCCCTTTCTTATGTTTACTTGGGAACAGCAACAAGAGAAGAGACAGATCATAGCTGCAACTATAATACAGGATAAATAATCACCATCAAGGAAAGGGACAGCCAGTGACAGCAAGATACATGAAAAACCCAGTGTCATCAACCCATGAAGTCCTTAGAAATGCCCAGACTTCCCCTCAAAAGAGTCACACAAGTTCCATATACATTTTCATATTCCTCTAGGTTTTATTTTGGGGGGGTTTGTTTGAGATGAGGTCTCACTCTGCCGCTCGGACTGGACTGTAGTGGCACCATCACAGTTCACCGCAGCATCAACCTCCCTGGGCTCAGGTGATCCTCCTACCTCAGCCTCCTGAGTCCTTAAGTAGCTGGGACTACAGGCAGATGCCACCGTGCCTAGCTAATATTAGTATTTTTTGTCGAGACGGAATTTTGCCACGTTGCTACAGCTGGTCTCGAACTCCTGGGCTAGGGCAATCCACCCGCCTTGGCCTCCCAAAGTGCTAGAATCATAGGCAAGAGCCACAACACCCAGCCTATTCCTCTAGTTTAAGTATGCACTGTCTGATACAATAAAAGTTTTCAAAAGAAATAAGCCTAAATGTTCTTCAATTTTAATTTTTCATTAACAGCACAAATATGATTTATACCTTTCCGTTCAAAATACTTCTTAAATCACCATTAGCATTATCATTATTTCCATTGTATCATGCTTTAAATTAATAATTTTTTATTTTTTCATTAAATTTGCAGAATACACCCTTCAAACAAATTCTATAAATGTTCAATTGCCAAGCAAGTAGGTTGAGTGGGGTTGGGGAGGATGCAGCAAAGTTCTGTTAGCTTGGCCTCTCCCTTCCCTGTGTTGAGGACTGCTGGCTCAAGGACCAGGCACACACACTGCATCTGCCGGCCTCTGGGCATGCACAATTGTAATGCTATTGCCCAAATGACTTCCCTTCCCGTCAGCTTCCCGGCTGCCAACTCAGCCTCCCTTCAAGGAGTCCCCACCATTCTCCATGGCTTCCCCCTGCTTCTGCAAATAAAAAGATCAACAGTATCTATATAACTGGTAGGTTGTTTTTGTAAGCACATATTTTTAAGATCATTGGGAACAGGAGAATTTGCCAATATTTTATACACAGAGCAACTTGCATCAGGTAGATATTTATATTTCTATAATAAAATATTTAAATTATGGTTTTAATGAAGATAATTTTTTTTCTCATACCAAGTCCTGGGTAGGCTTCCATTACTTGGTTCCTAATATCTGGAGAGATCAGAAACAAAATAATTTTTAAAGTCCTAGAAACAACTGCTGACAAGAATTCATTATAACCAAGATAATTTTTCCTCAAATTAAATCAAAAATAGAATTGTAGGTTGTTTGCATATGCTCCGCTTTACCACTGCCCATTGCCAGCAAGGCAGAACTGGCCACTGCTGCTTCTGACCTACTGTATTTCCACATCTGTTACCTGTAATACTTTACTAAATATATGTATTACATGCCTCTTCTACTGAACTCTGATCTCCATGAAAAGAGGACAGTTTCTCATCCATCCTGATATCTCTAGTATCTATCAGTGCCTAGCCCATGGTAGATGCTCATTAAATATTTCTTGAAAAGCATAAAAAATTACTAAAAATTAACTACTAAGTGAATTATCCAATCAATTAAAAAAATTAATGTATCAGTGAATGCTGAAAATCAGACTCACAAGCTAATTTCCATAAATACCTTCACTACAAAAAAGTATACTTTTGCTGAAGATTCTTAGCTTTCTCTTATATATTTATTCAATGTATTTTACTTCAAGATAGCATTTAAATTTTTATGAAGACTAAAATTCAGACATAAGAAGTCACAATCTAGTCATCTAAATTTGTACTTCTAGTTATCAAAAAGTCCTTCACCTGCATTTTAAATAACGTAGGGGCACCGGGAAGATGAAGGCAAGCGACCTGTCTGCTGTGGTTGTGCTCCGCCCCTCTCTTCTCTCTGCTCTTCATCTCTCCTTCTACTTGCAAAGCTGCACAGGCCCCCTTTCGTTATGGAAAGGCTCTGCTCATGTGGCTGGGTGTGCTTCCATCATGCTTCAAGTCACATGGAGGAAATGCAGTGAGGGCAGCACTCCTGAACTCTCACACTCTCCTCTCCAAGGAGCAGAAGGACATGTGGGGTCAATGGTCTGAAAGAAGCACCTGGGCAAGACAGGCTCACCTCCTGCTCTCTCTCAGCCCATCCCTGGGTGCATCCTTCTATCCCTGAGTGTCCCCTGGTCTGGTTTCTCTATGGGCTCTCCATGCAGGAAGGTGCCCGCCCTTAGGAGGGGCCCAGGGTTGTTGGCAGTGTCAGTCACCCAGTGGGCAGGTCTAAGTCAAACCGGCTAATAAGTGCTTTTTACTCCAGATCTGATGTCATGTCCTCTAATCAGCCAACAGAGGAGACAATTTGATCTCCATCTGGCAGTCTCCTGTGCCCTACTTCTCAAGGAAAAGAAACAGTATCACTTAGTGACTCCCTGGAACCCCCCAAATCAGACTAGTAAGTCCTACATTTATGTGTAAGATGATTCACAGCTTAAAAGGATATGAAGTGATGTAACAATTTTTAAATACCATTACTACTGAAGAGAGACGTAATTACTAGCTGTTGCATATGAGTGCAATCCCACATTTGGGGGCAGGGTTGAATAACAAAGTTGCCAACGACAGATATTTAGAACCAAGACAAACATATGAGTCATTTTACTCACTTAAACCCGCCTACAGTTGCTGACAAAGTCAAGATTATATTTTAGCTGCTTTTGCAGCAATACGATTGTTTTAACAGATGACACAAGATTGGTTTGTAACAACTCCTTGCTTGTGGATATTTTATAAACTGTTTATTGAGAGGTTATTATGTGACAGACACTGTGCTGGGCATTTAACATCCATAATCTCACTTAAACCTCACAACAGCCTAGGTTAGTTTCATGACTATCCTCAATTTACATATGCAGAGACTAAGGTGTAGAAAGGTTAAGTAATTCAGGCCATATGGAAAGTATGTGACAGAGAAGGACTTAAAAACCAGGTTGTCCAATTTCAACTTCAAAGCCATATTTCTAATCACCAAGCACTTTTGTTGAAGTATAAGTATCAATGGATGATCTTAATACATTTCTGCTCACTTCTGCTAGTCCTTACATTGCTTCGCATAGAAACAAATCCATTTGATTCCTGTGAATTCTCAACAGCTGTATATTCTGGATTCCAGTAGCCTTCCAATCTCATTACATGAAATTGTCAATTATTTGTGCAAAATAGAGATGAATGGTGTTTTGAAGAATCCAAGAACAATTTATATGAAATATTCTTTGTAATCACAAGCAACTGGACCTGCTATATTATGTTTTCAGTTGTGTTTTAGGATAAAACAAGGAAATGATCAGGAAACATGCAAAAGTTTGACACAATAATCACCAAATGATACTGAAATTTACTAATATACTTTATGCTTTTAATGATACTAAAGCAACTGCCTTCATGATTAATTTCCATGATTATGGAAAAGGCTCGATTGAATATACTTCATTCACTTAGCTTTCAGAATTTTTTTCCCAGCTCATTCAGTTTTGCAAGTATGTGCAGTTATATTCACTAATTTGGCCCAAAAGATACTAACAGGAAATGCTCTAATTACAGCAAATTCTTGTAGACCATATATAAGAAGACAATTTAAACAATGCCCACTCTGATGGTTAATAACTAATTCCACAGACAGTGGTAACAGTCAACCCAATGATAATGTTTCTAACCTTTAAATAAAAAATAATGTACAAAAGCCAAACTGTGCCTAAAATGACACTCAAAAACAAGAGCGAGATATTGCCTAGAACAACTGAGAAGCCCACAGGAAAAACTGTATTATCATCCTTTGAGTTATGTAAGTATTATGGGTCCCTGAATGGCCCTTGAGTTCGAATTTGACCATAAGGCCATCAAAAGCCAGCAATTTGGTAACACTGAATGGAATTTAATAAATAAAAGTGTTCATATCACATTAAAACTGTCACTCAATCATTTTTTTAAAGTGCCCTAAGCTCCGAGCACAGTACCACAGAATTCACACAAGACACAGTTGCATTCCACACAATTCATCTCACAAATTCTAAACAGCCTTATATACACATATCTCATATGCGTATATGTTTAATATAATATATATTCCTTACATTCTGTTACTGTTATTGTGCTAATAATGTTATGTTAGGGTAACATATAATAAGTAAGATTTATTTAACAAACATCAATAATTATATATATATATATATATATATATATATATATATATATGGTAGTCACTCATGAAGAGACCAGATGAATTAAGTAGCAACTAAGAACCTGACTCATAAGTAGTAACTAGCATTTATTCTGTACAATCTAAATGCTTTATGTATATTATCTCATTTAGTCTTCCTACATCAAAACTATGAGGTAGGTATCATTATTGCTCATTAAACAAATGAGAAAATTGGTAGGTTAACTGCAAAGATCACAGTTTTTAAGTTAGAGAAGTGGTACTTGGAACCACGCAAGAAGGCTTTGAATGAATAAAATGGCAAGCAAATGAGCAAAGGTTTATTAAGAGAATCTGTCAACAAGGATCCTCTAGCATTAAATAAGGGAAAGAGGCAAGGAAATGCCTTCAAGTCAATAGAAAGCCAAAGAAGTGTTTTACTACGGTAAGACAGAGCAACACCCCTAGATGCACACAGATCTTGAATAATGGATTGCACCAGAACTGCACCATTTGAAGCCTAAAGTTACTCCAATACCAAATAATAAATCATCCAACTACTGCAGAAAACAAAACAAAATTAAACAAGAAAAGCCACAGTCAGGGGCAGCCGGTTAGCTCAGCTGGTGATCACCTGGTGCTCAAGTGCCCAAGGCCTCGGACTCGATTCCTGCCCCTCCACCCCAGGCCAACCCAGCACTTTAAAACTAAAAGTAATAATAATAATAATAATAAAGATTTTAATTTTTTTTAATATATTAAAAAAAGCCACAGACAGCAAAAAACACTGGAATGAAATGCATTAAAGACAGATGAAATTGACACTATAAGTTAGGAAAATTTTTTTTAAAATTTTCCAAACACATTTTACTCTTTTCATAACATAGTATGGTGACTAGAAAGCAAAACTTGCTCCTTAGTGTTTTGCATAATTTTAGATGGGAAGCTGTAAGACAAGTTTTAAAGAAAGTTATATAGCATAATCAAAATAATTCTGTCCTATCTCTGTGGATACCTAAAAGTTCCACTTAGAATACCTAGTAGCCAATCATTAAGTGAATGACAATCAGATGGAGAATATAAAGACCACGTTTTCCTTGGAGAAATGAGATGAATTAAACTTTGTAATATTCATTAATTCAAAAACTACTGAACACTATTTACTTCCACTGTACCTAGCTATCATTAATACAATACAGATAAAACAGTTTCTCAAAAAGATCACATTCTTGAGGGAATGAGATGCAAAAAGAATCAACTGTAAATAATGTGATAAATGCTCTTTAATAGATGTGTGTTTTTTTAATGCTACAAAGAAAGCTGATAGAAAAAAAAAGCAAAGTCAGAAAAAGTTTTATGTACAAGACGACATTTGATCCAGGTCCTAAAAACATGGTAGAGGCCAGGCACAGTGGCTCACGCCTGTAATCCCAGCACTTTGGAAGGCCGAGGCAGATGGATCACCTAAGACCAGGAGTTCAAGACCAGCCTGGCCAGTATAGCGAAAGCCTATGTCTACTAAAATACAAAAGTTAGCCAGGTGTAGTAATAGGTGCCTGTAGTCCCAGCTAGTCAGGTGGCAGAGGCAGAATTGCCTGGGCTCGGAAGACGGACGTTGCAAAGAGCCAAGATCACGCCACTGCACTCTAGCCTAGACAACAGAATAAGACTCTGTCTCAAAAAAATAATAATAAAACAAAAGCATGATAGAAACTCACCATGTGGACAAGAAGCGAAAGCTACAATGTCACAATAAAAAGCCAGAGACCCCAGCAACAGGCACAACTCTTTCAACAGCAGCTACATCAACAGTAATGTGGGGTAGGAAAGACAGGACCCCAAACTTCTAACATGTCTCCTTCACCTCCTTTTTCACAATACTCACCCCTGACAACTGAATAATCCACCCCAGGAGCAGAAGTATATATAGGAAAACAACAAAAATATTTATGAATTAGAAATTAGTTTGAGGTCATTAAGAAAGCTAAATAACTTAGTAAAAATTTAATTAATATGTTGATTCTACTAACATATCATTATTATCTGGGTACTCAATCATTATTACCAAGGTCATTCATATTTGAATGGCCAAAATAAGGGTTACTGTAAGCCTCAATCATGCAAATTTTGCTCAAAAAGCAAATTTTAAAACCCAATCTAATCACATCCAAATACATATTTCTTCAATATTAAAAAACATCTATATAATCTACCATACATATTACCTTCGTAATAGTGACTATATTTGAGAAAAATAACAGTAGAATGTAAATTTCCAGAGACATCTGCACAATCACATTCCAGATATTAAAAGAAACAATCCTTTAAACACAACTGATCCATGAGAAAAAGGAGAAAAAAGCTGCTATTTGGGCTCCAAGTAACATACTTATCTGGGGATCCCAAAAAATATTTAGGTTTCTTTATGGTAACCCAACCCAGCGTCCCTCCCTCAATTCACCTGACCAAAACCTTAAACACAATGTTCAGTCAGATCATAAATGAATTTTTTACACAGCAGTCAAAGAGTAAAATTCTATTAGCAAGTTACAAGTTTGGGGTGGGGGAGGGGAGCCTCTTCCCCAGTGCTGCCCTTGAAGAATTATGCCAATTTCCACATAAAATATCAACACACTCCAAGGAGATTGACTATAAAAACATTTTACATGAAAGATCTGCCATCCTTCTCACTGTGAAAAATATTTTTTAGAAAGCTTTTGTCGTGAAGTCATTCAGTAAGCTACCTGAAAATACAGCATGCATTTATAACAGTAATCTAAATTTTCTAAGTAGATAAGCAGGACCGACTTAACAATGCAGCAATAAAAGACCAAAAACAACATAAAAGTCCATCAATTCAGTTATTAAACATCATGAAGCAAAATTATATGTACTGATTTGAATTCATCTCCAAGATACACTGTAAGCCAAAACAAAACAAAACAATACAAGGCAAGGCAAGGCTCAGAATAGTTACACACAGTTAACAGGGGTTGTCCTGGGGAGATTAAATCTAGGTGGCTGAACAGAAAGGACACTTAATTTTCACTCTACCATCTTTAGTACACCTTGAACTTTTTGTCATGTACACATACCACCCTGTCGGAATACAAACATAAATTTTTAAACAATTGTAAATATAATTAACATTAGCAAAAAAAAAAAAAAAAAAAAAAAAAATCCCTCCTAAGGAAAAAGCCACTGCAACACAGCTCCCACACAGGCAAACCTCCCTTCTCTGCCCCACCCTCCCTTGGCCTCCAGTGATCTGACACCCAGGAGGATTTGGGGTAAGGTCCCCTCAAGCTTTCTGGCGAGAATGTCCTCTAGCTTCTTCACTGCCCTGAAAGAAAAGAAATCTAAAGAGCTAATACTTTTCTCCTTTGGCCAAAAGAAAACCAGTTAACACTTTCTCCCCCAGCAGGACATGCAGCCAGGGGTGATGAGCGGAAAGAGAAGGTGAAGCTGCTGTGTTCCACCTTCTCCACATGTGAACAGAAGACCCATCCAGAGAAGCATATCCTTTACCTCCGCAGTCCCCTGTAAAAGGATCAGCATTTCGCTGCGAGCTGCAAAACTTAAACAGGATAATACAAACGCTAAAAGCATTACATTTTATGCTTTTCAGAAGTGGCTCAAATACCTTAACAATACAAGTTAAGTAACAAAATTTACAGGAGAATCTGCCTCAGTAGACCACACTACAACTTTCCTGATCAATTTACGTACCAGATGAGATTTTTTTTATTGCTAACAAATCTGGACTGTTTTGAAATGAATGTCTTGAAGAGCTTTCATGTATTGCGTTTTCAAAAATGCTTGTTAAAAAAAAAAAATGCTTGTAAAGCCTCTTAGAGTGTATCCTCTCCTGTGAACTTATATTTGCATATGACACTGATCTTGCTGACGATAGTTTTGCCAATAGTCCTTTTCAAGAACATAACTTTCAAGGTTGGTGTATTAACATACACAAAAGACTTTAATAAACTTACTGACAAACAGCTTACACTACTATCCTTGTGAACTGTAAATTACTTTAATTGATCATTTTTAATAGTGTCAATCTGCTTCCAGGAAAAACATCAATGCTTCACAATTTCACAAACTCTCTATGTGCAAGGCTCTTTTTAAGTACTGAGAAACGGTTTATCAAGGCAAGAAATGCCTTCAAGACGCTTATAACCTTAAAAATGCATTTTTAAATCCTTACCATAGGAGATATGTTTACCACAGGACCATAGAAGCAGTGAGAGAAAGGTAAATTACAAATTGTTTCTAACATAAACAGAAAACTAAAGAGCAGCTAATGACTTACTTAGAAAAGGTGATTATCTGTAGGACAGAATTACAGCAAAACCATTCTTTGTTTATTATAATGTTATAAACAAGAGCCAATTTGGATTTTTCTTATAGGACTTGCCTTCAGTTGGCTTTATGTTCTTCTAGAACTCTAAGGACATCTACAAATCAGAAGCTTAAACTGCCTGGCAAGTAGATGTAATGCAAACAAACCAAATTGCATACTTCCTTTTAAACACTAACTAAGTACCAAAAATCTTCTGGAAAATGTAGTTTCTTTATTGATATATGCTTTAGAAAGAACTTTTCTAACAAATTATGTCTAGAATGTGTGTCTATCTGTAAACACATGCAAACTTCAGCTTTCCCCAAACCTACGGTCAATAATTTCATAATCTGACTGATTCATTTAACAAATCAATACTGTTTCACAAAATTATTCCATATGCCAGTTAACTTTACTCCATTTTGTTTTTGTCTGATTCAACAGAATTCCTACTAACTTCTCTACCACTTATTATTGATGTAAATTTGGACAAGTCACAACCTGCACAAGTTTCAGTCTCATCATCTATAAGAGAAAAATAATGATGACAACACATGAAGAACATGAGTTCACAGGTGCTCAGTGTCCACTAAGTCAGGCACTGTTTGAAGTGGGCTGGAGTGTTCTAAGCGTACTTTCTCAAGCATTTTATCGTATGTAAACTCAA